TGAAGAATTACAATACCATATATCGTCGTCGAATCCTGCGTTGTCCCGTGTTTTTTGAAACAGATGGCAATTACCCGGGTGCACTGCAATTTTGTCAGCTGCCGCTACCGGACACCGGTTGTTATTGGTGGCATACATTTTTGCCTGTGACTCGTAGTTTTTTGCATTTTTGTCATTAAATCCCTCAATTATATCTTGTACTTAAAGATCATGTTTTCTTTGTTGGAAGTTCGCAATCCATCTCAAAGTAACAACACTGAGAACATAGCGTTCTGGCGTTCGTGTAGGCACCTCACGGTGTTGAGGGACGGTGGTTTAGGTTTGTGTGGCGAACGACAAGCACCCAACGACCGACGCTCACAACTTGGATCCCACCATTAACAAAAAGCAATATTATAGTTATATAACTTTTCAGATGTTTTAATTCAGTATTTTTTTCAATATTCTTCCAAAATTCAACCACTATATTTCCCTAAAAATCAAATAATACCGGTTTTATGTATTTCCGTATTAAACCTGTAGTCAATTCATGTTACAGGGCCACTTGGTTTAGCCGTGCATTATCAGCCAATATACCATGGATTGCATATGCAAATTTTGTGTTTGGACCAATCAAATCAATGGATTAACACCATCAATATACTGGTATAATATAATTCCGTGTAATCGACCCAGGTGTAATATTTATTCTTTTATTACAGACTCTAATAGTATATTTAGTCCCAAGAGAGATGTTGTTGTCAATAATATATTCAGTTGTATTACCAGGAATATTGTTTATTGCATTGCATTGTGTGTCGACTAGGAGAACAGTGACACCGGCATCTGTTGGACAACGACGTTGAAGCTACTGAAACCCACGTGACTCACTGACAAGAGTGTGTTCATGTCAACTGTTTTCTGTTGCTGTGCTGGCCCTTGAGCTGCTAAAACTTATAATCACTAGTATTATCAATAATAACTGGCTATATCTGCCGAGCCCCATCAAATATGGCGTAACAAGTTACCTACCTGTGCCTCCTCTTGCGAGGCGCGGAATTTAAATTTATAATTTTGTGTATACTAGAATAAAACGTACTAATAATTCAAAATTACGTACGTATTGGAGGCCGTGGCGTGTGTGTTTAAAATGATGTGTGCATTTTAAAAACGGCGTGACTGTGCGTTTTAATAGTACGGTGGCCCATATGTGCCATGGCATAGTTATCGTCTTGTGTCAGTTTTTTATTACCTCACGACAAAACTAGAATTTTTGAGACACATTTTCGATCAGACTCCAGCTAACTATTGAAAGTAAACACAGGTTTTCTTTTTACCATGATCATAGCAAGTTATGAAATTCATGGAGAATGCAGAGGCACGTTTATATTTCACTCTAGTATTATTGCTCAAAATTGCTCAAAATGATTTCAGTGACTTTTATCAGTGACAAGTTACCTAATTAGTATGCATTTCAATGAACCACAGTGTGTGTGCATGCGCAGTTTGAAATGGAACAGATTTGAACGCAATAAAATCACGCGTAGAACTCGGGCTCCAGCAAGAAATTGTGGCGTCAAACTGGTTGTTGGTTGAATTGTTTTGAAATAGACATAATTTTGGAGCCTGTATTTGTCTTTGAAATGTTTCTATAAAGTTTTGTTGAGGATTATTCTGTAAAGGAATGGCAGAAATTATTTTATCTGTTCGTAAACGGAACGTTGTTGCTTGACGATGAGCTACAGACGACTGACGTCGAAACGTTCCATTCAGATCAGATGGCGCCCTCTCGTGCCAATCCCCCCCCCCGGGTCGTTGTGTCGTCACCGGAAGCGCTGTCCCAGCACAATCGGTGTAGAAGACGCCAAACTGCAGCGTCAATGCCCCTGGGTAAAGTTGACTTTTCAGAACTCAGAACCTCAGAACCCAGAACCTGGAGTGCGCCCCCAGACGAAGAAATCGGGGTTAATGAATAAATCGGTCGTTTTTGGCATCCACATATTTTCGCTCGGAAACGCAAGGGCGATAAGACTCTATTTTCAAGGACGCAGGTTGTTGGGATCGGACTGTTTCTTTTGTTTCGAGTTCGTTGTAGGTCTAGAAACATAACAACATTGTTTTTTTAGTGAATACAGAATATGTTCTGTTTCAATACAGGATTTTGATATGCCAATCGGGCAATTTTAACAATTTCTTACTGGAGCGTCCCCTGTATAAATGGATCTCTACTCTCCAAAAAATGGTACCAGACTTCCTGTTCAGCGCGTCTTTGACTGCAGCAATGTTTACACCACTGTACGAAAATACGCACACGGGCGAATTTGACAACATGTGTGGGGGAAGGGTGGTTCGGGTCTTCTCAGTCAAGGAAGTGAACACTGAAACGGACACGTCATGTAACTGGAACTCAATCTCGTTTATTCTTCAACAACAACGTAATACAGATGTTAACTCGTAAACAACTGGAAAGCAACTGCTCAAAACGAGCGCAAAAACATACAATGTTGCCAATTGCCAATATCGCGTCAAGTA